TCTCTCTCTCTCTCTCTCTCTCTCTCTCTCTCTCTCTCTCTCTCTCTCTCCGTATAGGTCCACCTTCTAGGGTGGATTCATTTCCCCACCCAGACTGTTGAGGTCCAGCCTCCTGATGAGTCGGTGGGAATCCGACGAAACAGTCTGGCACAGTCACACCCGTTCGTCCAAGACGAACGGGCACTCAGAGCACCAACAGAACAACAAAAAGAAAAAAAAGAAAAATAAAATCTAAACAAAATCTAAGAAGAAAATCTAATGAAAAAAATATAAAACGGAATTTCTAAAAAAAAAGGGAAAACCCTTACCTCTGAGAAAAACGGTCGCCCGTTTCCACAGACGACTGTCTGATGCACTGGGGATAAGAGCCCCAGTCACTTCGAAGTGCGCCAGGTGGCGCCATACTTAGCATTTTTTTTTTTTCTTATTTAAAAAAAGAAAAAAAATGGACCATTTTTCGATTTATGCGTGTCATCCTCACGCAGGGGCCACTTCGATCCGTGCGCGGCAGATCTCAGCCGTGCGATCTTGAGGATCGCGCGGCCGAGATCGGCCGCGCCCAACTGCTTTGGGCTGCTCCAAAAGGAGCTTTGCCCAGTAGCCTAGCATGTCAGATTCGTTCCCGGTATCTGCCGGGTGAGAGTTTGGTATGGTAACCTACTGGGCTAGCTCCTGTCACGACAGTGATAGGAGCAGCTCTCCTATAAGAAGAGCTTGGCCCAGCCAATGTCCCCCCGTTCCTCAGCCTTGCAGGCCCTGCCTGCCCATAGCCTTGCATGCTTGGCCTGCCTGCCTATCTGCGGCCCTACCGGCCCCGCCAACTCACGGCCCTGCACGCCCAATTGGTCGCGTGACCTTGGCATCGGCCTATTAACCCCCTGGCTCGATGTCAAGCCCCGCGGCCCTAGAATTAAACTCTCCTTCCTATTCCCCCTGCGTCGCGGCTTTATACCCGGCGCACACCTCTTTTTAGCTCACTTAGGCCCTGAATCGCGCGGCTGTACAGCCGCGCGACATTATTTTAGGTAGACTAGGTCTAACTTTAGTTTTTCCATGCCCGCACGCTACTGCGGCTTCGTCGAGAACTGCGGGCCGACAGTGCATACCGTCAACCCCCGCTGTCTCGAACGGACGTCGAAGACGTTACACGTCAGCGACGTCTTACGTCGACAACGTCAGGCTTTAAGTCTTTCAATTATAAGGTTAGCCTGAATAAACTTTGGCAACGTCACTCTCATCATATTCCTCAACGACAAAAGTCGGACAGTGTCTGACCTTGAAAAACTCGGGCAGAAACCCTCACAGGCGTTTCTGTCCCGACAACGGACCCATCGCTCCACTGTCGTGTGTGTCGTCCTTCCACACCCAACGAAGAAGCCGAAGACGTCTGTCGAAAGCTGGCCCCTTTTCTCTGGATGCAGTCCCGCAGATCAAGGTGCAGTCAACATGTGCAAAGGTCAACGG